TGGAATTTTTAAAAATGGCATGATTTCAAATGATTTCCGCTTGGATCAAGCCAAAGAGTTCACATGTAATGAATGACATCTATAGAGTTGGGATTGAGGCGTGCCGTGCACGTACGGTGAACCCCGAGCCGACATGTTAAATTACAGGAGGCAGCAGACTGAGACAGACAGGGGGGCTGTCAAAGTGTCTGACTGGGTTTGTCTGTTTTGGGCTGGGGGGGTTGTTTGACCAGGGTGTTTGAGTGGGCTGCAGGACTGATTCCTGGCTCGATTTTGGCTCAGGGCCGGCTGGAGACTGGCCAGCGGCTGACTGAAGGGGGTTGGGTTCCCCTGCTTCTCAGCTCAAGTTGTCCCTGAAGCGAAGCAATAAGGAGCAGCTTATAAAATAAGCAAATACGGAGGCAGCTTACCGACAGTCAGCCAGCCAGCCGGGGATGAACGGCAGATGAACCACACACACACACCCCTCTTACGCTGCACTGATACCCCCCCCTCACACACACCCCTGACCTTGACCCTTGAGGTCCCTTCTAACCGGTTTCTGAATGGAAGTCAGTGCAGCTGGGGCGTCTAGCCAAGAACTAACCGCAACCCCCTCCTCTGCACAGACCCCCTGGTCCACTAATCACGCAGCCCGTTCCCACGCTTGACGACTGGGATGCCATCTCTGCATCTGAATGGTGCAATTTAATATTCATGCGAGCCGCCACGGTCCGGTTTCTAAGGGCAACAACAATCCCAGGATTTTCTGTGGTTTGTAAGAATTACCTGCTGAACATTAATACCAATGTTTTTCAATGTAATTCAGGAAGCTTTTCTTTGATTCCACACAATATCATTCCCCTCTGCTTTACGCCTCAAATTGCAATCCGCAGTCTCACTCGATGGCGCTCGCTCATATAAACCATTCAGCCTGAGCACATACATACGCTGTATAATGAATGTGTAAGGGTGTGTGTGTGTGTGTGTGTGTGTGAGTATGTGTGGGTGCTCATACGCGTCATTGAAGGGGTTCAACCCCATCCACCTTCACATTTTCATTACGGCCAAATCTCAGGCCTGTGCTACAGCAGCGTGGCCTTTTGCAGGCGAGCAGGCAGTTTAATCACACATACAGCACTACTCCATTTTCATTTCCTTTTCATACAGCCTCCATTCCACTACGGCTTCATAATTCTCCCCTCAGAGCTGTCTAGGCCGTCTGAGTGTTTGCAGCCTGTTGAAATGACATAATCAGTGACTTGGATAAATGCCTGACTGTTTTTCCCTGAGTCTATAATCAGACTTGGGGCTCAGTGTTGCAGCTCCGAGGAAGCAGAAGCAGCAACACTTGACTCAGGAATTGCTTCCTGAGGAGGGTAGTTTCACACAAGGAATTTGGTTGAGTGTCAATGGGATTAATTTATTTTGGTCTACCAAGTGCATCTCGACAAATGCGACGGTTGCTGTTCGTTAGAGAAGCAGGACAAAGTGCCGCGCTTCAAATAAATATGGATCGTTTAATTACAGACGGGCAATGTGTTTCACAAATTGACGTCTTAATTCTCAGGATTATTGAAAAGATTACTGACACAAAATGTCAAAGCATTTAATTTGTCAGAAATAATATGCAGAATATTTATTGCAAAACAAAGTAAAAGTCTTCTTTCAATCTTTTCAAAATGAAATGTCATTCAATCTCATTTATAATATCACCTCCACATAACGAAACACAGTTACTGCAACATCATATGAGGTAAATCTTCACATGAAGGACCAAATTACCTATTGTCCTGTATTTTGAAAGTTATCATCTAACCACCTATTCAAATTCCCTTTTTTAAATCCGAATGATTAAGTGTTTGGAGACAGAAGCGATCACTTATTTGTCTCAAAGAAAGACAGACGTGGAACGGGCCAGGGTGAATTGAGCGACGGCTGTAAATGCTTTCAGCAACTATTACTTCAGAGGGTGGAACACATTCAATCAATACCTAAGCAAATAAAAAGCAGTGGGCAGACTGAAAGCGGCAGCGGACTGGACGACAATCACACACACAAATGAAGCGTCCACATTCAAGAATCTCCACAGAAATGATTAGTAAATACACGCCTAAAAACATGGTTTGACAAAACTGTCTAAGGGTTGAGGCCATATCCAAATTTTGATCTTCATTGTTCATGTCGGGAGATCATTTCACTCTCACTAAACAATGTTTTTAATCATGCAACAATGTTATTAGAATGTCTTTAACATAAGGATGCTACTATTCTTTCCTTCAAATGTATAATTAATCAAGAAATATTCGTAAAAGTCATCTGGTTATAAATCCTCAAGCAGGTGAACAAGTCCTATATGTGACTTTGCTGCTGAAGGTCTTTGGACTTGAGGCCAATTAGAATAAATAGAGTGGATATTGTGCTTTGACATAAAAATATACACACACTACTATATTCATGCACATGCAGTACGTCCACCTAAAGCAAGGTCTACTGTGCCACCCTGCCGGGTACTCTTTGTGTTGAATTATGCATAATTGCAGCACGCACATGGCTATAACTGTTATTAGCATAAAAGCTTTCTGCAGGAGATGGTGTTGGAGTGCGTGTCCTTTTTTCTTCCTGAGAGGAAGAGTGAATGGACACAATCCTACCGCCGCGATATGGATTAGCATGCGTGTGTGTTCATACGATATGTGTGCATTAGCGCGTATGGAGCGGTTATGGCGGCTGACTAGCATATGTGGTCGGGTGTTATGTTCATCTGGTGCTTCATAAAGCATATGCTCCCCGTGTTTGATCCAAATATGCAAATCAGGAATTAAACGACTCCACCCAGTTTATCCCCAATAACCAGACAAACTACCCTTTCTTCTTGGAAAGACTTAACACCCACCTCCCTGGGTTTGTCCTCCATCCTTCTCCCTCCACCAAGAGAACCCCGCCCATATAGTGCACACACGTACATTCTCATTCATATGACAGGTTTAAATTGTTTTTAACTCCTCTTTTTTACCTCTTTTATTTGATTTCTTTCACTCTGTCTTATTCTTGTCGACCTGGTTTTCTAACTCTTTCTGAAACTTGCAAAGCAATCCCTAACTACCACACGATATATTTACCTGGGGAAAAAAATGTGCTTTGTATAAATAGTCAAGTTAAAGAACAAATAAAGGGATAAATTCAATAAATTCAATAGAGCGAGTCTGGATTGTTGTTGAGAGCAGATTTGAACCTTCCTGTAAGTGTTCTTGACAAAATGCCGCTCCAGGCTAACTACAGCTAGCGTGGGCACTTTGCACTAACCTGCTCTCCACCTCAGCCTCATCAGTGTCACTATGGGCTGATTAGACAGCGAAGCTTGATTAAAACTGCCTGAGTCTGATAGAGATGACAATAAGAGCTTTTTGTGGATTGGCAAATGACAGCGGGGGTTACCACACGACTTAATAAGATAATTTATTTCCAAAATCTCCACACGGCATTTAAGGGCAGAACACAGCCCGTAATTTGCTGTACCGTAAGCAACTATTTAGAAATATTAGCCTTTTGCAATGAGCATGTTGTCCTCCAGTCCTTGCTGTGAAGTTCAAGGCTACAGGGTGACAACAGATAGCGTACAGCAGGTCTTCAGAGTGGATGATAGCCTATTTCCAGGACACGGACAATTCACCAAATCGCTCTCTCCAATAATTAGCACTGGCAGGTGATAACGGCCACGAATGCCACGGGAGTTCACAATGAAACGGACAATTGGCCCAACACACAACTACACACCAGAGAATCTCACACACACACACACAAACATAAACACGCACATGTCAATGCACAACAGCAGCAACAGAGGATCCGTCAGCACAGCAAACACCACATTAAGACCATAAAGCAGCAATACATCTCCTGTTCCACGTACACAGCCCGTATCCTGCTGCTTCTGCACTGATACCCCTGATCCCCCTGCGCTTTGACAAGGCGTAATAAAGCCTGTATGAAGCGCCGCATTGTGTGGGGAGAACACAATGTTGCATGCTGAGTGCTGTGAGAAGGGCGTACACCGGTGGGTCCCACGGCGCAGCAGCGCACCAGGGCCTATAGCAGGGAGTGCTGAGCATGCTAATGAGGTCATTATGTTATGCCTCTCCCTCGCTCCTGCTCTCCTTTACAGTGTGGGCTTTGCCTGTCAGAGGAGGCAGGGCACCCTGGTAATGCAGCCAACCACAGATGTCACATATGGCACAATGAGAAGACACATGAGCGTCTCTGAATGAGTCGCGGAGAGAAAGACAGGGTGCCGCTCCATTTTTCAGCTGGCATCAAAAGCAAGAGCACGCCACCAATGATTTGCATAAGGTGAGCTTAAAGCAAAGTAAAGAGGAGGGCAACAACAGGCAACATTCATTTGCTAATTGTTCCTGCTGCGTATTCAATCATGCAACCGCGCTGGGTTGTGTATCCTTCTGCTTTTTTTTTTTTTCTTTTACGCTAGCGCTATTATTTACAACCGAGAGGGAGGGGCTAAGTATCAAACACATGCAAATGCAATTACAAGATATTTCCATAGCCGTTAACAATTAGAAGGGCAGATGGCAAACAGCGGGCATTAAAAAGCGACCGAGCGCCATCTTGGCTGAGGAGACAGCTGGCAGACAGAAATCGGCCATTTTGTAAGCATGGGTCGGTGCCAGTCTCTCTCTGTCTGTGTGCCAGGAGATTGGCAGGCGAGGGGGAATTGTGCTTTAGTACCCTCCCTGGTATCGGCAACAACAAGGATCTCCTCCAACAGCCGGTGACAGTGTGATCACAGCCCAGGGCTGCTGTTCAGAGCTGACTGAGGAGATCAACTACAACATAATGTGTCGGTGTACCCTTAAAAAATGCACACACACACACATAATAATGTAACTGGGGAGGGGGGGGGTATTGCTGTTATTCTTCTTACTTAGTTCAACATGGCTATCAGAATGATATAACTGGTTCTATTTGCCATAAGACAAGCAATTAAATGAAGACATTGTACTCACCAGGTGGTATGAATCCTGTTGTACTCTCTGCCAGTCGTCGCGCTTGGAAAACTGCTCATCTGTCCTGTAATGTCTTGCTGTTTTTCAGCCGGATGTTTCTCCCACAGCATGAAAAAAGTCTTTTCTACTGAAGGCTTTCACCTCTACACTGAAGCCAGGTATTTTCATTCCTGAAGACTTTGCCAATTTTCTTTAGTCACCACCAATTTTTATAAAACATCTGAAGAGCGAGTTTCTTTGTGACGGAGAAGGGGGGTGGGGGG